TTTTTTTTGTAATTTGTATGGCTTTTTAAGTTAAATATTTTTAGGATTACTAGTTTTAAATAATATTTTCAATTTTTTAATTTTAGTTTAAACTATTTGATTAATATTTGTATATCGATTAGTAATAAGACCAAATCAAATTTTTGTTATTAAACCCAATTTTTAAAAAATTAGATTTTTTCTAGTTATTCTTTTTGTAATTTCAAATTTACGGCATTAAAGAAAAGAAATACTTTATGTTATAACTTAGTTAAAGATCTAATTTTTATTTTATTTTTTAGCTGTAATTTGAGTTTAACAAAACAAGTAAAAAAATATCAATGGCGTCGCCAAAATTATAATTGGACGAAGTATTAAATAAACTTATAGCCAAAATGAAGTAATTAAGTAATTACATTAAATCAATAAAAATTTGCTGTATTTTTTGATATTAATTTCTTATTGTTTTAAAAGTATCTTTATATTTTTATCCTTTTTTATGAATGTCCAATTTTGTTTTTATAATAAACACATATGATACAGGAAAACTACATTTTATTAATAATTTAAATTTTTGGTAAAGTTAAGTAGAGTAGCTAGAGTAGCAAGGGTCGCCACCACCTAGGCGAGGTGTCACACCTATCAGATATGATTACCGGACCATAGGTGGAATTTAATTTTAAGTTAATTAAAAGTACAATCTAAGTTAATATGTCGTTATATGTATAAATTACTATAATGCCTCGTAGTTTATAGAACACAATTAAGACAATCAAAGTTGTATGTGGTTGATATGTAAAACATACCGTAGCCCGTGTCTAGATTAAGGAATAGGAATGAAATACACGCGAGTAATTAAGTTACTCGCGCAATAAAATAAATATTACAATTGAAATTAATAAGGAAATTTAATTTAATTGTTAAAAAAAGAAAATTAAGTTAAACATGGACAAAAATGCGAATGCATCAAAAACCATGTCTACAAATAAAGGCAATACAAATAAAATAAAATATTTAAACAAATAATATTACAAACATCACGGACGGTATTGGAACACATCCGTTAATGTTAACAGGAAATTAATGAAGAACACCAGGAGCGGTCTGGACACTCGCTCCT